CACTGATCAGATGTGGAAAATTTTTAAAGAGAAATTTTCAAATCTTCAAGATAAGCATATTCCTTAAAGAAAGAAAAGAGTGGCTGCAAGTACGATACCAGGTTGGCTCAGAAAGAGTACAGGAGATGCAATTAAAGAAAAGCATAAGAAATTGATATTGACTGGTATGACAGGAGACTTAGAAGATTATAGAAGATCAAGTAAGTTCGTGAAAAAGGAAATTAGAACATCACAAAGAATGTATGATAAAAGGTTGGCTGAAACTGTAAATGTTAACAGTAAAGATTTCTATAAATACATCAAAGGTAAACAGAATGTTAGGAGGGGGCAAGATCCTTGAGGGGAGACAAAGGAAGGCTCACAACTGATGATTATGAAATGGCTGGATTATTAAGTTATGCCTTTTCTTCGATTTTTATTTACGAAGATTTAATCAGTATTCCATATCTTGAACTGTTGATAGATGGAAACAAGATCAAACAGGATGGCTGCATTAATTCTGAGTTGCTCACGAAAAAAATTGGAAGTTTAAAGATCGATAAAGCTCCTGGGCCAGAAAATATTTTCTCAAAGGTTTTGAAGGAGGTTAAAAAGGAGGCAGATAACTCTATGTGGCTTTGCGTTAAAACAAACAAAATTTCGGTTTTGGTAGAATTGGGCTATTTTTGCAAGTTCTTGAATAGTGGTCAGGTACCAAAGGATTGGAAATTAGCTAATGTAATTCCTCTTTTCAAGGGAGGTGATAAAAATTGTCCCAGTAATTATAGACCCACTAGTCTTACATCAATTGTGGGAAAAGTTTTGGAAAGTCTGATGAAAGATGATTTGCAAAGTCATTCAACAAAGTTTAGAATTTTATCAAATAATCAAAATGGTTTCACTAAGAGAAAATCTTGCCTAAGAAATCTTTTGACATTCGTTGAAAAGGTTATTGCTTATGTAGATAAGGGTAAGAGTGTAGATTTGGTGTATCTGGATTTTCAGAAAGCATTTGTCAAAGTGTAAATAAAATGGATGGAAGAAAGCAGAGGGTTTTTACAAATGGAGTTCAGTCAAACTAGATTAATGTCACAAGTGGGGTACCTCAGGGCTCAGTCTTAGGACCTTTGCTCTTTTTGATTTACATCAATGACATAGATGAAAGAATGGTTAATAAATTAGGTCGTCAAGAAATTAATGTCGCTTTTTTAGATGAAAAACCCGAACAACTTATATATCAAAATAAAACCTTTACTTAATGAAATAATCTCCATTCTTATCGATGACGCTTTTTCATCTTACAATCAGGTTGTTAATACCCTGATTACAGAAATCACTTGTCTTGGAAGCAAAAAAACATGTCGATGTCCTCTTTAACACCTTCCACATTTGCATACGTTTCCCATTAAGATGGTATTGGA